CTAGATCCCCTGGCAGACATCTCCTTTCTGTGGAGCACAGATAACTCAAAGTAATACTGTTCCCAGCCCCAGGGTTAGGAAGCAGGAGAAGGAGACAGGGAAAAGAACACATCTTTAAAAAAGCCTCAGAGCATATATTCAGAGCTCATATTCAAAAAGTGAAGTGGACCACTGTTACAAGTTAAGCCATCTATTAGGCTGAATTCTGAATGACAAGAAACAAAGTCTATCTGCTGAAGTGCTAGATGTGTAAATATGTGAATTAGGTAAGAAATGAAAATAAGGACCTTTGTTTCTGTAGCATAACCTATTCTTTCTTAGCTGATTTATTTAGGAAAAAAAATGTCAGTAACTGTCTCATTATAAAATCCTTTAAACATTTGTTAAAGAAAACAATTACTCAATGACCTGTTAAAGCATGGTGAAAAAAACTTAATTCAGGAAAATTGCAATAGATATAGAATCACTGTAACCAGATCTTACAGTGGAGAGAGATTGAACTCAACTCCAAATAAGACATGAGCAAGTGGGAATTTGTAAGCAAGGAACAGAGTGGTGATCCATGTAATAATTTTTTCTGGGAGAGATTATCAGGGGAAGGGGGGAAAGTTAGACACACTTACCAGGATTCTTGCTAGAGCCAGGCAGAAGTGATCACACATCACCTGGAGGATGATGAAAAATTGGGTACCTGATCAAATATCAGATATGGAGGGTGATCAGATATCTAGACTGAGGGGATTCTTGCCCAACTGAGTTAGCAAGGTTACTTGCTAACATTGGATTTTATAAGGAAGTATATGGATGGGCTTGAAAAAAATTTTAAAAACCTGAATAAAGTTTGGCAGAACAAAAAAAATTGTAGTTCTTTCTTATCCAAGGGAAGAAGAGACATTCTTCTTTATAAGTGCATTTTCTCATTCTGTCACCTATTGTCCGTTAAGGAACATTTGGATTATTTGTTAGAACATGGTACTACAGGATATTTTCTGGGTGAAGAGAGCTACCAACATTTAAATTAGGGGCCTTTAATGTCTTTGACATTTATACTATGCTCATCACAATTGTTGTAAAATATTGTTTTTGACGTCTTCACCATAATGAATACACAGACTAATTTAATTGTTTAGAAAAAATTAAAAAAAGAAAAAAAATACTCTTTTGAATTTATCACATGCTCCACAAATCTTGCATTTTTATGTCTATATTATATATTAAATGAGAAAATGCAAATATATAAGAGGTATCATTCTGATATTTTAAATTCCATTGTTAGCAAGATTGAAAAATCTTTCTATAAGTATTATTGTATTAGTTCTCTTAATCTTTTAAAATATAAAACTGGAATTATTTTTATTCTCCACTTTAAGTATTTTGATCTAAAGTGATAAGAGGAAAGGGATGACAGATCCTGTGTCACAGACTCCAGTAAACTAAGGCTACAACATACCTTTTCTATTATGAACCACTGCTATCAGAAAAGCACCAAGGTAATAGTATGCATACACAGCTTCTGTTTTGGAGGTAGTAGAACAGTGTTTCAGAGAGTGATAATATCTTTTATCAATGCCTCCTGAGTAGATTGCCCTCTTTTATAGTACACTTGACTCCCTATAGCTTTGAAGGAATTGAGAAAAAATAAACCACAATTTATTTTTTAACATGTAAGCATGTAATACATTTGAATTTCCTGAGTCAGGAAGCTAAAAGCACAGTTCAAGTGTAAAAGGTTTTTAACAAATTACCATCCTTTAGTAGTTTCTGTATTTAAGTCAATGTCGAATTTCAGATGTTATTAAAATATTCCAAGCTAAGCAAAAATGGTCTCTAGGCAGCTAAATAGGAGAAATATGTTATACTTCAAGAATATCATACCTGGTATATTATATCATGACTGTCTCAAATCCCTGTCATGTTTAATATTCTCGTTTTTTTTCTTGTTTAAGTCATCTAAAAGTCATATATTTGTAAAACGTGGAACCTAGGTCTTTTCAGTACATATCTGTAACCTTTTAACTTTGCAATATAAATACTTGTACACTCAATTAAGCACTTCTAAATACAGTTTGATGGGAAATAGGTTAGAACAAGGTAAAATGCAAATATATTTGTTTGGGATAACTTTGTATTAAACAGTAAAATATTATCAGACTGGTAGTATGAGCAGAGTCTATGCTTCCTGTACAAACCACAGTCTGTTTGGGAAATAAGGATAATGTATTCTTGCTAAGTTATCTGTTTTTTTTTCTGTCAGTAATTAGATTAGGGGAAACGGCCTATCAATGACAACCAGCCTATAGACTGATCATTAACTGATGCCATGGGGGCCAGGCTTAATAAGACAGAAGCTAAGGGTCGAAAAGAGAATGTTAGGAAAAAATTGATGCTATTTATCATAAGTTAAGGGAAAATCAGTCTTACTCAAAGTGAACATATCTCCAAGGGCATAATAACATATCTCTAAGGGCATAATAACTGCTAGCAGGACCCTCAGAGAAACAACTTTTTATCTAAACTATTACTAACTCGCCTTCACACATATTAATAAAGAAGGTTATGGGAGAATTAAATCATCTTGCAGGAAACAGTGTCAATATTCCCTCTACCTCTCTCCTTTGTGGGTGCATAAGTGTGTGGTGTGGGAGTTACACCTGCCTTCTACCTTAGTTTCTGTCCTTTGGATAGTCATAAAACTGTTCAACCTGTCTCATACCCTCACTTTTCTAAATGGAGGATTGCCCCTTCTCTGACAGTTGTCAGGTCACTGAACCACTTGGAAATTGTGAGTGGACCTTTCTTAATGGAGGCCAGGTGTTTAGAGCCAGTGGATGTCAAAAGATTGAGCCATCATTGAATTTCTTTTGTTAAGATGGTGTAGGTAGAGGTCAACATTTAAATTTCCATCACCTAAAGAAAAGGGTGCCAAGTTTTTGTCTTACAGAATGTCCAAAACTATCAGAAAGAGGGCAATGGCTTTGCTTCACAAATCATTGAAGCAAATGGATATTGCTATTCTCATGATCTTCTTCATTGTGGATCAAAGCTCTAATTATGAAAGGAAAGAGCCATAAATAGCAGAAAGGCAAAATGCAGACACATTCCTACTCCACTTTTTCAAAGTAAAATCTTAACTGTCTACATCAGAATCATGCAGTAAGTCTGATAGAAATGTAGACTACTGAGAATTTCTGAATAAGGAGGAACAGAGATGTATATGAACAATACATATATGTTATATATTATAAATTTTGAGTGAACTGTCCCATTTCCCCATGGCCCTATACTATAATAATTAAAAATAAAGCAAACAAACAATGATTTTTCTATAAAATCTTGCTTTCTTTTTTACTTCTTAGGTTAAGCTTTGGAATTCCACTAAAATAGGGCATTTAATTAGAGTTGATCTTAACTAATATTCATTTTACTAGAGAAAGTTTTCTAAATCTTTTTTTTTTTTTTTTCAGTACCCAGGATTGACTTCAGGGACACTTGACCACTAAGTAACATCCCCAGCCCTTTTTTGTGTTTTATTTAAAAATAGAGTCTCACTAAGTTGCTTAGTGCCTCACTTTTGCTGAGGCTGACTTTGAACTTCAGATCCCCCTGCCCCAGCATCCTGAGCTTCTGGGATTATATGCGTGTGCCACCATACCCAGCTCCTAAATCTTTATCTACATTATGCTTGCCCAACTCCTAAACTTTTATCTACATTATGCTTCTCTTTTTTGTACATTTTCTTCTATTGATTTATTTAATTATTAATCTATAAGTTTTAGAGAAAGAATGGAAACTCAAAAATACTTGTTTAATCAAGAAATTATTTAATTTTAGTACATAGACTTGCCAACATTTTAAAAGTAGTGCTGATGATGAAGCACATACTGTCCCTTTATTTTTCAAAGTATTTATGAAACAATTAAAACATGAAAATATCAGATTTATGTAAAATATAGCGTTAGCTAATAAGAAATAAGATCAAAAATTCTCAGAAGAGCAATAACATTACTTGTTATTAACAATAAAGTTACTTGTTATTATCATTAACATAGTTGTTTGTAATAGTTCTTCATATTTTTAATGAAAATTGTTAAGAACAACAACAAAATTTTGAAAATATCCCTCAAGTTGTTTTGATAGAGATAGAAAGGTAAGTATCTCTGTGTCATGGACTGAGGCTCCTGAAGAATCTGTGAAGGGAAATGGAAAATACACAAAAAATATATATGAAAAAAAAATCAACATCATATCAAAGACTTAATTGAAATTGGAAGACAGAAGATTTCAGAATAGAATTTGCAAACATTTTATCATTTTTCACAATGACAATAAAGTACAGGAGTCATTTAAGGTCTATGGGAAGACACTAATATTGTAAATTGTCCTCTTAAGGAGTGAATACACTTAAACTGAGGGCTACTTGTAAGAGGAGACACTTCAAAGATTGTCCTTATGACTTGCATGTTACCAGGAAGCAATGAGGTTAGCGAGCTTAACTAATGTGTTAAATCATGAGCCTTGAAAAAAAAATAACCTTTAAATTATACGTTTCATGATCATATTGTATTTAATGTCAGAAAATTCTTGGAATATGACATTTTCACAAATGTAAAAACAGTGAAATTAAATAGAAATAACAAATTGCAAAATCTGAACTCTTTGATGTTAAAACAACAGGTCAAAAGATAACAGGGAAGATTTTCAGGTTTCTAGAGTTTGACTCAGGACTATTCCAGAGCCATGGATGAATAACCTTACTAATATATGAAAAACTATGACAAGTGTACTGCATTACAGTTATCACTATCTCTGGTGAAACTTTTTGATCAAAATAAAATATTTTGAGAAATTATAAGAATATTCAGTATAAAGTTTATACTCACATTGAATTCTCAGATAATAAGCAAACCATCTACCTTTCAAGAAGACTAATCCACAATATAAACTATCTTGTTTCATCATATATTCAACTGATCTGAACCCTGTGTGCTTAATATTTGCAGACATCCAATGACACCTTTGAAATTCCCCTTATGTTGACTGGAAATGTAGTGTTAAGGAAGAGACTCAATTATGAAGACAAGACTCGATACTTCGTCATCATCCAAGCAAATGTGAGTATTTAATTTCTTATCTCTTTTCTATGAACTTATGAAGTAAACAATGCATTCAATGTTCTTAGAGTGCTTGGCATAATAAACTTTCTCAACAGGGCAACACTGCCCTTGGTGGAATTTATATATTATATTATTCAACTTGGGGAAAGTGATGAAATAGAATTGGAGGTGTTGCTTCCACTGACTATTCTTTTTCATCTAAATCTCCCTCTAATGTATGGAATATGACATGCATGCCAATAATTTGCTTTTTAGCCCAAACTGAAATATATCCCAAAGTATGATTTACTAAACAACCACATCAATATCAACGTGGAGCCATATTCAGTATGTAGATTCCCGGATTCTACCTCAGAGCTCCACTAAAAATTTCAGAGGATGGAATTCAGAAGTATATGTGCATGTAAAAATATCTACATTTTTATTGGATACACACACAAAAAAATTAATACTTTCATATTTCAACCTATGTAAAAATCTTTTCAAAATACTCTCACCCTGACCTTCCCTCACTTCTGCTCTCTATCAATTTGTGGAATAAGTATTCATTTTAAACCATTATTTTTAACTCTACCAGTTTTTTTCTAAAGTATGGAAGTAAAATGGGTGGATGGTGATTTATGGCTTAAGGAACAAATATTCATAGATTATTAGAATAATAAAGATACATGAGCACATGAGTCTATAAAACATACTATTCCATGTACTGGCATGCAAAAAAACTGAAGAAAAATAAGGTAAACACCTCAAACAAACAAGCAAAAAAACCTTCAATAAACAAAAGGCCCACTTCTAAAATTAAATAGACTAAGATAATTTGGTTGCTATTATTCTTTTTTAAAATAAAGAAACAGAATGAAGTTACCAGGATTAATTTTTAAATTTTCAGTCAGTAATATTGCATCTATCACCGGTGAGCAGAAGCAAGACAAATAGCTCTGTGGTCTTAAGTAACAGACTTGGGGTCAAAATACTCAAGGCAACTCTAATTATGTTGAATATTTTTTCTTTCTCTACTGCAAATACCTGATAAGGTAATGAAATAGTATTTAATATATGTATCTATGAATGAGTCTGTTAGGTGCTGCTAGCCATTTGTTAAACTACAAACTAATACTGCATATTTAAATTCTAGAAATCTCTTCCAAGGATTCTGTGACATTTCCTCAAAAATAAACCAGAAAATAAGCATGTCTGTCCCAAAGTCATTTTAAAACCAGGCTTCAGATTTCATATGATTTTACATGTTGTTAGAGTCCAAATCTTTCTTGGCTCCATTTACCACAACTAAATTTTACTTAATGTAAATATAGAACAGGCAAAAGCCAAACAAACAAACATTATAAACTGACATTTGCCCCAAGTTTGATCAAGAAATAGTTAGAAATTAAACTATTTTACAAGAAACACTTTCATTTGGGAAGAAGGACTTAAAGTCTCACCATCTAAAATTAAACGTGTTTCTTTGCTTTAATATTATTACAATTTAAATATTTGTGATTTTATAAAATTATGTTTTAAAAAGAGAGTGTTAGAACAATAAATTAGGTATATCTGAGCCATTTATAAAAGTAGTGACTTTTATTTAAGTGTTACTAGGCATGAACCCTGTTTTATAAAACATTAGTTCTTCCATGTAATGTATTGATGAAAATTTCAACCTATTCAGTAAAAAATTTATTCAAAATCAATGTGGTATCTTTGATATGTGAGTCCTTATGTTGCATTATACTTTTGAAAAGTTGTGCATTGTATTGCCATCGTATGGAGCTAGAATATTGAAAGACTTGCATGAAGATGCTGAGCATTCAGTACAACATTCCTCTCTGGGAGACAATGACAGAATGCTCCAGTTCTATCAAAACTATACTCCACTGAACAGTCCTCATTGTTTTCTTGATTCTGTATTGAAGATATGGTTATACTTTTAAAATCCCATATGTCAGCTTTCCTGCTGGATTATTATTTGTATAACCTCCAATTCCTTACATTTATCTAAAGTAATAACTTTAAAAGAAATAGTGACTCATTCTTAAGGAAGGTAATTAAGGCTTTTGTGTTACTAAATGTTCAGTGTTAGGAAATATATAAATGATATAGGAAATAACAGCACATTTTCAGAAAATCTACATTAAGTAGTTATATTAGTCTACTTTTTTTGCCATAATAAAATACCATAGACTGGTTGTCTTATTCAAAAGAAATCTTCTCACCAGTTTGGAGTCCAGAAACCACAGACAAAGTCTGGTAGGATTTGTTTCTGGGGAGAACTGTCTTCTTGGCTGGAAGATGTCCATATTCTCTCAGTGTGCCTCATTCCTTTTCCTGTGCTCCCATGGTGCAGGCTGATAGAGCTCTTATTATCATACTACTCCTATAATATAAGGGACCCATCCTTATGATAGCACTTAACCTTAAATAATCTACTTATATAACTGCACTGGGGATTAAAGCTACATTATATGAATTTGGGGGGAACATAATTTATTTCATACAGCAGTTGAACTGTGAAAAAAGTTATAAAGAGATATCCTTGCTGACCAATTACAATCACTTTTCTAAGTTAATAAGATATTATCTTATTTTAAGAGATTTTTTAACAAAGGAAAGAGAATGAGAAATGAAAAGGGAACATGAAAAAATGGACAGAAGGAAATTTCTTGGTAGCTTTTACATACATTACATCGATACATTGCAATGAGTAAAAACACAAGCAATAAACATCATATCAGATATTTATGCCAATAATTATATTTTATTTGTACCATTCCCAATTTAGAATAGTATTTACTTCGTTATAGCTATTTTTGCTATACTTTCAACAGACCAGTTGCTGATAGCAAACAAATGAAATGGCTCTTCAAAACAGCTAATAAAGCAGAGTTATGTATGTAGCATAATGGATTGGGAAGAACAGGTGGGATTCTAAGGGAACATACAAATGAAAAAAAATCATTGTGATATTAGTTTATGTAGGTAGGAATTATCTTCTCTGTATTTTTCTTTATGACCATAGGAACCCAGGGAGAGGGGATTCATGGCACTATTGCTCTCCAAGATAAAGAAAGCTCAGAGGATTTTTTTCTGTTGAATTTCAAAATGACTTGTTTTTAAAACAATCATTTTATCAACCCTGTGGTTTGAATGCATCTAAATATTTTGAAAATGTAAACATTTATTTTTGCTGTGATTTGATCATAATCCATCTTATAATTGATCAAAACATAAAAGAAGGCTGGGACTGTAGCTCAGTGGTAGAGCACTTGCCTAGCATGCATGAGGCACTGGGTTTGATCCTCAGCACCACATAAAAATAAACAAATAATGTAAAGGCATTCTGTCCATATACAACTACAAAAAAAATAAAAATAAAAACATAAAAGAATACTAGAATCAGAAGGTTACTACTTTCCAGTATGATAGCACTTGTAAAATTCCTCCAACAGAGATTTTTGCTTTCTCTGATTTGCCTTCAATCACTTCTCTAAAACTCTTCTGGATCAACCATGTTGAGAAAGATGACTGGAATGTAGTATTTCTAAAGTTAAGAAAGTAGGCTATATTAATATCTGGTAACTGTCACAAAGAAAGATGATTTTGAAGCAAAGTAAAATAAGTCAGTCTAATCAACTTTTGAAACTTAATTGAGGTAAATTAACATAAGATACATTAACCAATTGAAGTGAACACTTCAGTGGCATTTGATACATCCTCAATATTATACCACCACTGCCTCTATGTACTTCCCATAATAACATAATCAAAATTGTTAAAAAATAAGAAGTCTGAGAAATTGTCAATGCCAAAAGGAACCTAAAGAGACATTATGACTAAATGTAAAAGTCATCCTAGTTGGAATATTGGAGCAGAAAGAATTAATAGACACTAAAAAAAATCACGTCAGTTATTAACAATGTATGATCAAAGAAAAATTGCACTGGACAAATTAAATGGGTAAGGGATACTCTGTTCTGGGCTATCTTGATAAGAAAGAGCAACCAGAGGAAGGGCTTGTGAGTAATTAGGAGCAAAATTGAGTTTGTGTGTGAGAGGATGGGAGAGAACCGTAGTTCATCAATATTTACTACTTGGCCTTTTCAAAGGAAAAGTAAACTCTCTTATATTTATTGCAGGGCATAAGTTTTGGTACTTGGAGCAAGCCTCCTTTAAAGTGAGGCACCCACCTTCCCACAAAGACTCAGTAGGAAGGAGTCCTATCTTTCTTGACTATTACATTCCAAAGGCATGACTCCCAGGTCATTGAAAAAGACAGGTCTGGGTTATAAAACTGACAAGAAGTTTATAAAAGTTTTTTTTTTTAATCTCAAAGGAGAAGGAAATTTACAATCATAAGATATCTAAGGTGAATACTCTAAGAAGAGGGAGAAAGGAGGCCAAGGCTATGTAGATTCTGTCAGGACTTGGGTGGGTGGAGATAAGGGGCTTAGAGGAAGGAAGAAGTCCTTATGAAGTTTGGCCTGCTTGAGGGAAACTCTCAGGTTATTTTGGTCAGTATCACTATTGTCTCTTTGATTGTAACAAATGTACCATATTAATGCAAAGCATTAAGAATAGGGAAAACTGGGCTTGTGGTACATGGGAACTCTTTTGTGTGTGTGTGTGTGTGTGTTTTCATACCAGGGATTGAACTCGGGGGCACTTAGCCACTCACTGAGCAACATCTCCAGATCTATTTTGTATTTTATATGGAGAGAGGTTCTCACTGAGTTGCTTAGTGCCTTGCCATTGCTGAGGCTGCCTTTGAACTCCTGCCTCAGCCTCTCAAATTGCTGAGTTGCTGAGATTACAGGCATGCGCCAGCTTGCACATCATGGGAACTCTTTATACTATTTTGTCAATATTTTCCTAAATCTAAAACTGATTCAAAATTATTTAAAGTATTTAAAAGTAACAACACTCCAGACCTATGGATCCTGATGATCACATCCTTCCTTCTTCCTTCTTATTCAACTTGGATAATGAAAAGTTTCCTTTCATTTCCAGATCAGCTTTTCCAATGAATTATACAACTCTAAATGAGATTTCTTTTTATTTTCAAAAGGGACTCAATGAAGCAAATTCCCAAGGACACAATGAACTCATCACAATATTATATTATTACCCTCCTAATGCTGTGAAAAGACTGGACCTATGAAAGTTTAGCTACTATAGTAAGCTTTTGGAGACAGTTGATTTGAAGATAACTGGATTTCAGTTTACATCTCAACTTCACCACTTCAAACTGTTGGTTTAAACAAGTTGCTTATCAATCCTTTAAGCAAAAGGAAAAGGAAATTTAACAAGTCACATTATTCCCAATATTTTTAAGCTACTCAGTTGTTTATTTTCCCTCTCACAGGACCGTGCACAAAATCTGAATGAAAGGCGGACCACCACCACCACACTCACCGTGGATATCCTGGATGGAGATGACTTAGGTCCCATGTTTCTTCCTTGTGTCCTTGTGCCAAACACTCGAGATTGCCGACCACTCACCTATCAAGCTGCCATACCTGAGCTGAGAACTCCGGTAAACAAACTCTTACTCATTTCCTTTCATTTGCATCTCTCTAAATGCAGTGGGATGCTACTGAAGCATTTTTCACATATATTGATTGATAATAGCAAAATAGACAAGTATTTAAAAATATTTATGTCTAAAAATGTTTTCAGACAGCATGGGTAAATTTTTGTCACAATGCATAATTACACCATTTACAAGGTAGAAAGTATATCATGGAGCAGCAAGCCCTGTGACATTGATAGTTTTATTTTTTCTGTGCATAAATCACAGCAGAGCTCAGTTGCCAACATATTCTGGGAAATTCCAAGAAGCAACTCCAGCATTTCCTTAAATTCACATTTAAATGTGCAGTCCTAAATCAGAGGACTCAGGCCAACAGGATGCCCTTCTAGCTTATAAGAGTTCAGAAATGTTGTTGGAGATTATGCTTGAGCATTTCAAGTAAGAGATGAGAAATTCTGAATACAAGTATCCACCACTTAAAGATATAATTTAAGAAAGCAAAAAAGTAAATCCTGAATGCATATTTTCTGCACTCAATTCTGAATTAAAAAAAATGCTAAGGGAGCTAGGAATTTCAGTCAATTTGGAATTCAGACCACAGATGATAAATGTACATATATGAGAAAAAAATGAATTATAAGACAAACAGATACCATGTTGAAACTAAAATAGCAATTCTGCTCTAAAGTTGGAATATATAAGTATATATATTATATGTATATATATTCTTATTCTGTTTCAGAAAAGTCAAATTCCTGGCAATCAACTACTTGACTAATGCGTTTGCTACTGCACTGGGAAATATTCAGCTCTGTGGCTTTGCAACATAATTCCCAATGTGAAAATTTACATTGGGAATTTTTTTCTCAACATATAAGAAAGCTAAAGTTTTTGGTATCCTCTTTACATTTGAGATTTTGAAGAATAGAACAGGAGAAATTTACAATAAACATTATAGCACTTTATTCAATTCACAAGTCCTTGTCCCATGTTATATCTGTAGGCTTGATTCATAGATCTTAAATGTCTAAAAATCATTTTGTACCTAATAGCATAAGTGATCACTGGTGAAATTGACTTAACAAAAATTTAAAAACTTTGGAGAAAACATCATCATAATGTAAGGCAAAATTTTCAGCTAGCTGAAATAATTTTGAAGACAAAGCTGCTAATCAGAACTTGTCTGAACAAATGCATGCATATTACCTAAATTTATACATTGTGATTTATTTTGTTGAATCTAAGTAAGAAAACAATTATTAAGGATAGTAAATGTTAAATTTTGTGTGGCTTAATGGAAAGGGTAAAAAATATATTTTAGTATTAATTTATGTTTCTGAGGTAATTTATGTAGCTAGTGTACCAGTGAGACCCCAAGAAAGAGGATGTAGTATAATCACAGTAATTAAATTCAGTGAATCAGTCAGATGACTGCTTAACAGTACTTAGTGCACTGAAGAAAGTAAAGAAGGATTGATGTTGCTGCATGAGAAATGGAATATACTGAATTAATTTTATAAAGTGTCACGGAGCTTTCTTTCCTCTCTATTCCAGATTACTGACAGAGCATTTTCTCATTCTTATGGGATTTGGGATAATAATATAAATGATAATAATGAATAGCAGTGATACAGATATTGAGTTTGACATTAAATGTGCTAAACTCTGCACAAATATTAACTGGTTGAATATATACTAGGATCTTTTACAGATTTGCCCACCATTAAGTTCATTTTAAAGATGAGTTCTTGAAATTAGAGTTTATGTAACTTCCCATGATCATATAGCTAATAACTAAATATTTACATATATACTGTATATATGTCCAACATACATTATATGTCCAATATATGGTATATGTATATTGGACATATATACAGTATATATACATATACATATAATATATAATTTAAATCAGATTTAAAAAGACTAAATAAAATTAATATACATTTGAGTCCTATCTCTAAACTAGATAATAGCCTTATTCTGATTCTTGCAGCTGAGTTATGTGGGAGCTTCCTTCTGTAGATTGGACACTAAATGCCTTTGATTTATCCTCTCTATTGTTGCACTTTAATATTCATATTGTGTATCAGTGCCCAAGGAAGAGCTAGCCAATAATAAATATTACTCAGTCTTCAGTTGACAAATAATAGTCAATGACAAAAACTATTAAGTCTTTAGTTAATGAAGCCATTCCAATAGCAAGAATTAACATTTCTAACATCAAAGTAATGATGGTGCCCAGTCAAGAAATACCTTATGGGGCTGGGGTTGTAGTTCAGTAGTAGAATGCTTGCCTCACACGTGTGAGGCCCTGGGTTTGATATTAACACCAATAAAAATAAAGATATTGTGACAATCTACAACTAAAAGAAGAAGAAAAAGAAATACCTTATGCCCTGAATCTCTTGGAAAATGATGTTTAAACTAGAAGCATAAAGGGTCCTGGACATGGTGAACTTATGTGGATTAAAAAAAAGAGGTTTCCATGGGCATGATGGTGCATACCTTTAATTCCAGCATCTCGGGAGGCTGAGGCAGGAAAATCATGAGTTCCAAGCCAGACTCAGCAACAGGGAAGCTCGAAGCAACTCATTGAGACCCTGTCTCTAAATAAAATACAAAATAGGGCTGGAGATGTGGCTCAGTGTTTGATTGTTTCTGAGTTCAATCCCTGGTACACCCTGAAAAAGAGGTTTTCAAGCCATGATTAATAAATGGTTTCACAAACAAGTATCCTGATTAGCCTTTAAAATCATGTTTTTTGAAATCAATGTTATCCTGAATTCCAGAATGATCAATTTTCATACTTCGCCATCATTTTTAACAGAGTAAGTCTTTCCTTAACATCCGGTGAAACAAAAAGAATTTGAATTTTACAAAGAAAATTTTAGCTTTACACATTTAAATAGATATGGTGAAGATTTATACATTAAGGAGTATTTTTTTATTGCCATATAGGAAAAAACAGTGTGTTTACTTGTTAAACTAGACACATAACTGTGATTATCAATGGCAGCATAGTTATTGACCAGACCTTAATGCTTCAAAACATAATCATTTAATATTTTCATAAAGCTGCAAGTTAGGGCAGGAGTTGAAGGAATATCTTTGCTCCATCAGAGCCCCCCTAACTGAGAGGTGGGCACCATTTTCAGGATGCTAACAAGTATTTTGGAGACTTGATAACCTCTTATCATGGTTAAGGAGCTGATTCTGGCTACTTGGGCCCAGTGAGGTCTGTGGCACGAGCCTCTTAGAGGTTTTTTGTGTGGCTTGCTAACACAGTGAGATAGTGGGTTCAGAAAACAAGCTTCCTAATACAAATAGGTAGAACTTCTTACAAACTAGCTTTGGAATTTGCAGTGTCACTTCTGCTATAGTCAAACCTCTGCCAGGTTCAAGGGGTAGAAATATTCCTTTTTCCTATGGAAGGAGCATCCAGGTTACGTAACGTAACACTAAGTACATATGAGAAGGAAATTTTATTGTGGCAATTTTTGAAAAATGAAATCGGCTCTAGTGCTGCCATCGTGTTGTCATGGACTCCTCTAGATTTTTGTTTTGAATCCATTATGAATCAGTAAAGGTACAAACTGAACTTAGTTTTTGAATTTCACATTCAGATTGCTGTGTTTGTAGTATACTTTCAGTATTTTTTTTTATTTTCTTCTTTTCTATTTGCCTTTATGTGGGCTGATTAAATTTAAGGATATTTCAGTAAGTAAGATCTTGCAATTCAAAGTGAGAAAACTAACCATTTACGTCAGCTAAACAGGACATGTTGACTCTAATTACATACTTGCTGATCCTTTCTCGAACTAATTCTTCAAATTTTGAAAGCTTTGACACCTGCTCACCTTCTATGTTGATGTGAAAATTTCCACCAATTACCTCAGTGGTATTCTTAATCCCACTATAATACATGTAGAATTCATCAGCTTAGAAAAACACCTTTAAAAATGTAGTCTAGTTTATTGTTTAATTCATGAACTAGGATATAATGAAAGCAAAATATCTGCTTTATATTATAATTTTATAAACATGTTCAATGATAAACTTATTTTATAAATATAGATTACATTTTTTTCTACTACAGAAAACTGCCTCCAGTGAAAAGTAATGTCTTCATAGACACGTAGGTTAATAATCTACTAAGAATATCAATATATAAATCTGGTATCCCAAAGGTACTAAAAAATGGGTAGTTCCCTTCTGGTTATTTATTGTTAGTTTGATAAATATCTACTGGGCCCCAACATTTGCTGAACTCTGTGCTAATTTAGTAGCCTATTTAGAATTGGTAACACAGAGATTCTTATTGCCCAATAAGAATAAAATACAATCTTGCCAAAAATATTATTATGTAATTTATTCTAATTTCTGACTCTTTTAAATTTGTTTATATGACTATAAAATTTAGGTTTTACTAGAATAAATAAATAAATAAATAAGCTGTAGAATGTAGAGTACAGAATTCATGGCTCTATTTTCTGTGTTTTCTAAGGAAGCAAAAACAAGACATGGTAAATACTTACACACTTCTTTGGAATTGAATGGTAGTATAAATTTGCGTGTTTGTTGGTTGGCTGTTTTTTGTTTGTTTGGTTTTTGCTGCATAATTTATCCCTATTATGCAGCAAAAACCAAACAAAACACCACTGAAACACCATTGAAGCTAGGCAGGGTGGTATATGCCAGTAATCACAAAAACTCAAGAGACTGAGGCAGGAGGACTACAAGTTCAAAAGCTAGCCTCAGAAACTGAGCAAAGGCCTAAGCAACTTAGTGAGACCTCTCTCAAAATTTAAAAAGGAGAACATTGCTGGGAATGTGGCTCATCCCTGCGTTCAATCCCCACTACCAAGAAATAAATAGATGAATGAATGAATGAACACACACGATGACATATTGGCTTATTAGTTGTTTGTTGTTTATGTGAATTATTACACATTGTATTTTTCACCATTTAAATATTAGTTGCCCACCAGACATAGACA